AAGTGGCGCACTTGGACCCAAAAACAATCCGGCGTGTTGAGCACTCGGTTTGCACAAATCAGCAATAATTTGATCGAATTCGGCGTTCAAGCAAACATTCTTAAGAAAAGAAGAATACATATCCAATTCTGATCGGGTTTTGAGAGACGGGGCGATCGCACTGTATATATTAGATGACCAGCTCCCACTCATGGCACCGGAGGGATCTATGCTGGCCGGCTCAGCAGATGCACGAGTAGCGACCCGAGGCCTCACGCCACTGACTGCCGCGGATACACCTCCCACCGCACGTGGGGCAGCAGATGAGATCCGTCTACGTATTACTTGCAATCTCTTATCAGACACGATACTTTGCGAGTCAAAATCATAAATGTCTCTCTCAGCATTTCCAGTCCCAGTAGGCGTATCGCCCGATACCCTTTTCCGCACAGAGGCATCACGAGCAGAGAATAATTCCATATTGTCATCCAATTTACCGCCAGTAGTGGCGATACTGACGGGTAAATCATCGTCTTCTTCTTCTTCTTCATCTTCCTCATCTTCTTCCTCCCCTTCCTCATCTTCATCCGTGGAACCCCCTTCTTCCCCCTCATCATCATCCACATCACCAAGATCTACCTCTTCGCCATTAACAAGGGCCTTAGCCTGTTTTCGCAAAGCAAGAGAAATAGCAGCTGCCTCAGCACTGATGTCTCCCTCCTGTCGCGTGGCTGGCCTACCCTTGCTTTTGCATCTACCCTTAGTACCACAAGGGCGACCTCGAGATCGGCGTGGCGTTGTAAACTTTATTTCGTCAAGAGAAGGCTCATATTCACTATCTTCGTCTGCGTCAATAGCTGATTCCTCCATCAACTCAGCTTGTCGACGAACATCCTCGTCAATATCATCCTCTTGGTCGTCATCAGCATGATCTCCTTGTTCACTTTCTGCATCCACAAAAAGATCAGAGTAAGAATATCCCTGGGGACGTTCGGTACCAGCTTGACCAGACTTCCCAGCTTTTGTAACCAGGCGAGACAATGAATTAGAGGGGGTATTTGAGGATTTTCCGCGCGTCGAACCACGACCACGGCCGGCTCGACCACGCTTACTAGGAGTTTCACTCTCGTCAGCAAGAGAAAAATCCATAATCACCTGCTGTGACTGTTCAATGGATGCGGCTTTGCGCTTACGTTGTTTACGAGAAGACAAATCGCCAGACTCTTCGGTCAAATTAGCTTCATCAATCAGGGTTTCCAGGGTTTTTTTGCGATTTTTGCTGCCCGGTGGACGACCACGACGAGGGGCAACAACGACAGGGGAATCTACATCGCTGATGGCGGCAATAGGAGCAGGATCATGGGCTAATGACTGCGAGGCATTTGTGGGGGGTTCATAGGGCTCTTCTGGTTTGAACATGGTTATACAAGCAAATAAGTACGAAAAGGTATGAGCGAATTAGGGGTACAAAAATAAATCACGTCGAAATAAGTAAGATATATGAAACAAAATGGTCAGAGTTTTAGAGAAAGGAATATTAAGACTTTTGTCGCAAGTAAAAAAGCACACGAGCGAACAAAAGTAATTGCGATGCCAAATTTTCAATAAGGAAAATAAGAGCTAAATTTACGAGCAAAGAAATAAAAATATTGAAAAAATTTAAGGTCGAGAAGAAACGGGCGATAGCAAAGCCGAATGAGTAGTATGAGCGTATTGACCATACTACTACAGAGAACTACTTTCAAATTAATGAGCTAGCAATATAAAAATAAAGATGAAATTGGATCAAAAACGTTAAGGTCAACAGCTAAAGAATCACAAGCATTAAAAAATATATATTAAAACACCGACAAATATTGTAATAAAGAGGAAAGCGAAATGGAGGTCTGGGGGCAAGCGGAACATCAGAGGCATGAGAGCGTTCGAACAAGATAGACAACGTTAACTTTTCTGAAAAATAATTGTAAATAATAAATATAACTGTATAATTAATTCCAAAATTTTATTTTTTACATAAAATTAGATATTTTTCATTATTACAATGTGTAACTTTAATTCGACTATACATATTACTGTGATTAGTTAAATGCCTATTAACCTCATCTGATGCATCACTCTTTGCTATTTATTTTCGAG